TGTATAACACGAGATGTTGTTCTGTGCAGGCACAGGCCCATGAGCACTACTTTCCAGTCTCCAATCAAGAGCTCACGGGCACATACTATGGTACCGAGGTGGATGCACTCATAGCAACATATACTCTAAGAACCATCTTACAAACTTCATGGTTGGGTAAGGAGTCTGTCCAGCTAGACTGATGAGCTTCATCTAAAAAAGCAAGTATGTTCCTGTAGTACTGGGAGCTTTGCTTGCCAAGTATCTTCTTGCTAGCGCTCCCTCTGCTTGATGGCTCCCACACCCCTCCTTCCCTTGATGTCCTCTGGACCACTACCTGTAAGTCCCTCAGGCAGTTTAACTTGTACAAGAGCCCCTCTGACAGAGAATTGAAAGTGTGCTACTCTGCTCATTAACTCTTGATAATGATGTTTAGCCAGTGGTTTCTATAGTGTAAACAAACAGATGAACAGTAATTGATTAAAAATAAACAGTTAAACTATGCCTGAGCTTTTGTTTGACTCCACAAATAATCCAAGCTTTCATATTTTTTTATTTATATATATCTACATCTATCTACATACACACACACACACACACACACACACACACACTTAAAAAATGGCTGAGTTTTCTGACAAAAAATTGGTAGAAGGCCAAAACACACAGAAGGCCAATTAAAATCCAGTATTCTTACATTGCAAATCCTGGTGAAACATTGCCAGAAACTTTTACAAGATAGGCCCAGTATTGGATAACTGCCTCCACAAATAATAAATAGGGCCCTATCAAATTCACTGTCCATTTTGGTCAATTTCAGTCATAGGATTTTAAAAATCATAAATTTTATGATTTCAACTATTTAAATCAGAACTGTCATGGTGGTGTAATTTTAGGGGTCCTAACTCAAAGGATTGGGGAGGGAGGTGTCACAAAGTTATTGTAGGGGAGGTTGTAGTACTGCTACTCTTAATTCTGTGCTGCTGGCGGCGGCGCTGCCTTCAGAACCGGGCAGCTGGAGAGCAGCGGCTGCTGGCCAGGAGCCTAGCTCTGAAAGCAGAGCCACCACCAGCAGCAGCACAGAAGTAAGGACGGCATGGTATGGCATAGTATGGCATTGCTACCCTTACTTCTGCGCTGCTGCCTGCAGAGCTGGGCCCTCAGTCAGCAGCCACCACTCTCTGGTTGCCCAGATCTGAAAGCAGCGCAGAAGTAAGGGTGGTAACACTACAACCCCTCTAAAATAACCTTGTGACCCTCATGCAACTCCCTTATCGGTCAGGAGCCCCAATTTGAGAAATGCTGGTCTCCCCTGTGAAGTCCGTATAGAGTAAAAGCACACAAAAAAGACCAGATTTCACGGTCCGTGACGCATTTTTCATGGCAGTGAATTTGGTAGGGCCCTAATAATAAAACGTCACGTATGTCTGCAAGTTTCAAGCTGCAACATGTTACTGTATCATGTACCCAAGTCAAGAGTTCTGTTAAGACTATTTCTACCTTGAAGCAAACATCAACTTGCATCTTGTATGACTCATATTTTACACACACACACACACACACACACACACACACACACACACACACACAACCTTATCAGGTAATTAAGCTTTTCACCTAAACAAAAATATATTAAGCCAACTGACAAGTCAGATATACAAACCCTCTCTACCTAACCATCATCAGTTCTTCTCCACCCTAAGGAAGTAAAAGGAGGATGGTACAGCAAGTATCTATAGGGAACATTAAGTGATCTCAACTCTGGTTATTGCTAAGTAAACTTCCTTTCTCCTTCACATTATTTCTTCTGCCAAGCCCCATTATAGTAAATCGTGAAACAAACAACAAGTTTATGGAAGAGAGCTGAGAAGTGATAACTAATCAGAGAATGAAGGACTGTGTATTGCCAAATAGCATGCAATCTGGCTCCTACACAGAAAGATATTTCAGGAAAAAAGTCAATTTAAACTTCAAGATGGAACATCACAAATTTCAAAGAACAGACACTGAGTAAAGCAGTTGCTCCTCCCCCTGGCGATCATGAGCTAAACAGGCTTATAGAACTTTGCCAACAGGAATGAAAGCCTTGCTGTTCTCTAATGAGTCTGTACTATGGGGTGCAGGGGGCACAATCAGGATAATCCAAACGGAAGAGTTAAATGAAATTAAAATAGCTGAGTCAGAACACTTTCCTCTTGCTGGGAAAGGAAAACCATGGAGAAAAAAACCAACATTTAATACTATAGAGGCCAAAAGCCTTAGAGTTTTGATTTTTCTTTTCTTTATCTATGCGCTATCTAGGCCAACATAAAGTGGTGCAGGAGAAAAAAAGTCTTCCCATAAATTAGAAATTTTGCTTGATTTTATTTAGTCTTCATTCCTCCACCCCCATCCTTTACTCCCCAAACCCTCCATTTGTCAGACACTTTCCTCCTTGGCTTTAACCTCCCTTCAAACCCACAGCTGACTTCTCTAATCCACCTTTTCACCCTCAAAAATGCTACACATTTTAACTGCCTTCCATTAACCCATGAATTATGGATGTTACTTTCTCCAAAGCCTGCTGATGCTGCTTCATCAGTTAGTCATACTGAGGCACCTCTTTCACATCCAGCTTTAAGTGTTTCCTTCCCTTCTAGATAAGGCAAGATGGCCCCAAAGGAGGCCCGAAACGCCAAAAGCCATTATAACCAATTTGGCCCTCTCGGGCCTTCCCAATTTTTGACATTCCTGCTCATTCCTCCTCACCTTCCTCCTAGATGAGGGATGTGGAGTCAGTATTTAGGACCATTTACTTAAAATCAGTTGGACAATAAAGCTCATAAGACTGTTTGGGAGGGGAGAGATTCTATTCTAACTACATTGGAAGCTCAAAATTGTGCCCCCCAAACCAAAACATTCAATATCTGAACTATACCACACAAGCCAGAAGTGTGCATCCAATAATTACCTTTGAGTTCCTTATATTTCTTACAAGTTGCACTTAACTGAATCTTTGTGACCTTTTCCACATGCGTTGAAACAGACAGTTGTCACAGTTTAATTTGTTATTAAGCCCACTCTCACCCATTAAAAAGGTACTTTAGTAACTAAGGCCAACAAATAGCAGAACTAAGCATCATCTTCTAGCATTAAGTCCTTCTGCACTTCCTGGCCAATATCGGATTTTGCCTTACCATATTCCCCTCTGTTCCTCTCATGACAGACTTGAGGCTACCTTGATTTTCTTCTCACCCAAGCCCTTTTCCATGCTTCTGCATATATGTAATGCCTCCAGGAACCCCACTTCCCAAGCCACAAACCCATCATCATTCAAAGCCTTCTTACCCCCAGTCCATTTAACCTACTAATTAAAATGGAACCTGCAAGTTCTTCCAACCCAGTGATGATTCAATGTTACACTGAGAAAGCACAATGGGGGTATCCCTCTATTATTCATCAGATCTTCTCTGAATTTATATTTTAAAGCTTCTCTAAATAGTGTAAATATAAAACAGTAGTTATGAAGTGCAGTAAATAAGACTTGAGTTTTGCAAAAAAAAATTGTGATCGCACCATTTTAATTGCCTCTAATTACATCCACACAAGGAAGCAATAAAGAGGTTGCACAGGAATCTTTACTTCTAGCATTTCCTAACTTTGACCTCACAACCGTAACATTCATTCAGCATAGTTTTGTATCTGATTTCCATATGTTTTTAAACAGTTTGTATTCTGTTTGATTGTAGTATATATGGTTCCAATATAAAACATTATGCTGTACCATGAACAATGCTAAATAGAAGCCTAAGAAAAAAAATATTTCAGAAACAAGTGAGGAGAGAAAAAAGGGGAAGTTTCTGAGTGGGACTATAAAGGAGACAGAGTCAACGTTAGAGGGAGTGGCTCACGTTCCTGCAGCAATTATTTTCTGGCAAACTAGCTTGCCCCATGGGGAGTTATATTCCATTCTAACTTGAAAGACTGAGGCAAGAACATGGTAAAGAGCAAAATAGTAAGGCAGCTGGACACCTCATGGAAAATGAACACTTTTTAAAGGAAACTTAGCTTTTTTCCACTCAACATTCTATCCCACCCTCCTTCCAGAACGACTTCACTCAGCAATCTTCTCAACATGGCTACACTCTATTGTGTGCAGAACCTGACCTGAAATACTAGAGATAGCCAGCATTTTCTGATTATTTTTACTTACGTAACTTTTTGACCTATCATTAGAGCTCAAATGTGTAATATTAGCCTTCAAGTGATTTCTATGTTCTCACACATGCTCCCACATGAGAATATTAGCTTGAACAGAAAACAGAGCATCAGCAAACAGAAAACAGAGCATCAGCAAACAGAAAGTAGCATTCCTTTTACAAAGACAAAAAGGTTGGACCTCTGTACACAGTGCTAGGTCTCTATCAATCATGACTCAAATTTTGAATAAAAGAGTGAAAGTTTTAGTAATTTTGACAAATATTAGTCTTCAAAACAAAAGTTGTGTTATTACATAGTCCATTAAAACATGACCTTGAATAGTAAAAAGACATTTGAAAACTACTGGTAATCATTTTTTGTGAAGTGCAAATTTTAGGCTATGTTTTACTTTAAGTCTCAAGTTTTCGTACTATTGGAATGCAATCCCTAAAGTCCTGCCATAGTTAGTTTTGTATGGCAGCCTCAAACTGCCCATGAAAAGAAGCCTCATATTGAAGCCTGAGCAAATGAAGTCTGATCTATCATGGTTAAGTTAAAGATATACAAATTGACACTGATATTTTGAATAATAGTAAACGTTAAATATCAGTTATTCCCAAGATCCAGGTTCATGATTCTAAGAGTCATTTTCATTAGCAATCATTTTAGCCTTTTTAAAGGGTTTTGAAAAGTTGAGTGTAGGCAGCCGGAACTGAGGAATTACACTGCATGCAACACTGAGAAAATAGATAAAGAAGTAGATAGCATAGTTCATGCAGCGAAAGAAAACAGATGCAGGTCTGCGCTGATTGCCATGAGCATACACACAAGATGACACTGACCTGGAGGCAGCTGGAGTTAGAGAGTTATTTCCATTTCTTTCACTTGAACCTTTGATGTTCTCTTCTTTGATTTTAACTCTTTTCCTATCCTTCTCGGGTTCAGCCCTTTGTTGTGTTGCTGGAAGCGGAGTGATGTTCACTGGTGCTGCCACAAGTACATATTTTCTTTGAGGGTCATCACTTGGATCCAAGTTCTTGGTACATATCTTTCTTTCTTCCTTATTTTGAGATGAAAAGTGAGTAGTTTTCTCTACTGTAGCATTTTTGCTATCTCCAGGTTCAGAAGTCATGTCCACTGGAATCTTCTCCCTCCTTTTTATGCTTTTAGGGATTTTAATTAATTCTAGAGAAGAATGATAGTTATGTTTGTATACAAAGAAACATGTTGGTAATTGAAATAAACGTACATGTTCGTATAATTACTGAAACCAGCAAGATAGCATTGAATCTATTTAGGTGAGAATTTGTTTAATGCAGACCATCCCAAGATGTTTAGCTGCCTCCATGCTGATGGAGACAGACAGTGACTTTTTAGTAACATACATCTAAGAGTCCCAAAAGACTTAAATTCAAAGACGTAATTGGTACCTCTGCTTTCGTTCTCTCACCTCTATTTTAAAAATCTTTCACCAAACCCTTTTAAGCAGATATACCTAACTTCACACACCTCCTTTTATGTTTTTTGATTCTTTTGACATTTGGGCTGCTGTCCTGGTAGCTAAAACTTACTGATGACGTACTGCTCAAATAAAAGGCAGGTGCTTCTTTTAGGCAGAAGGAGCTACCTCAAACTGTACTCTATTTCCTAACTTTAGTTTCCTTTCTTCATGACCATGGACTTCTTCCACATTTGTTTCACTACACATCTGCCTATTATCTTTGCAGTACTCTTCATGTGGGCCATAGTTTCATCTCTAGGTGGGCAAGTGTGACCTCCCCTACCCTAGGGCTTTCCAATTCCCTAACTTTCAAAAATGCGGATTTATTTTTTTTAAATGGTTATGAAGAAGCGTGACCCCATCAATCCATCTTTAAAACTTTTCTACTTTGAAGGGACCTGGAAGCCAGCGAATTTTTAAGATGGTCAAGGATTTGCTGCCACCTGCTTAACTCATCTAGCAATTCGTTCTTACATCCCCTCGCATCCTTTTACCACTATTGTTGTGAAGATTCTCAGTAGTTCCCAGACTTGTTGCGTTTTCCACATTTTCTCAACCACTGTGTCACCTGAAAGCATCTTTCTTGCCTATGCCTCAGACTGATTGAAAGCTTTAATTTATTAGCAATATAAGGAAAGAACTTGCATTATATCTGTTTTCAGTCAGTGCACTGTAATTTTACAAGGCACTTGGTTACAGCTGGTATGAAAAATGCTTCAAATATTTGAGTTGCAACTCAAATTCTAGTAAACTTTCTGGAGATGCAAACTCAGGATTCACACCTTTGACATGCTTCGACAGAAAACCTGTTCTGTTCTTTTCAAAACAATTTTTGAACCACTCCACAAGGTCACAATGGTTTCAGAGTAGCAGCTGTGTTAGTTTGTAGCCGCAAAAAGAACAGGAGTACTTATGGCGCGGTCACAATGGTGCAGCACTCCCACTGTGCCCTCTAATCTAATCTTTCAGTGTACACATCTCAACTGCTCCAAGAAATGCATAGAAAGTTTGCAATTGTCCCAAGACAACTAAGAGAAAAAAAAACTAAGGGTTATACAGAGATCAGCATACCTGGCGGCTTGAAGCTAATGGAAATTTAGAAATAATCACAACAGTTCTCATTCACACTGAACTAGGCTTTGCTCCATTGCTGAAACAAGACAGTTACAGCTAAAAAGCCTTTTTAGCTGTAAAAGATTCTTGCAGGCAACAGAAAATAGAAAATATTACCAACGCTTCCTTTTTAGAGACAGCGTCTCGGACTGGCAGAGAGCTGAGCTTGCACTTCTCTTCCTGCCAGTACCTCAGATAGCTGACCTCTCTGTGGACTCTGGGAATCCTTCAAATTCCCGTTGTAGGATTAAATGTGAGCTGAACAATTAGCTATATACACAAGCTTTGTAGTGGCCACACAGTAGCACCCAACAGGCTTCTCAGTGAGGCAGATTCTGGAAGAATTCACTCACAATAAGGAACTACTGTGGCATTCTGACTTCTCCTCAGTTTGAGCCAGCTTAGGGTATGAACAAGCACTGACATGGCAGCCTTGTCAGACTGAACCAGCACATACTCCTTTCTGGTAAGATTTTGTGAATTCAAGAGAGATTCAACCTGACCACCATTTTCTAGTGGAGGAGAAATGTTTTGTTCGCCAACTATGCCATATTGAGTAGAAGGGGGGGGGACATATAAAAAGGAAAGAGTTTAACAGGTAAACCCATTCAGTAAACAGCACCACAAAAGATTTCGTACTCAGTGGATATGGCTATACAGTCCATGGGCAGTGAGCCTCCCACTCTGGGTCAACAGACTCTGGCTCAGGCTAGCGCTCTAAAAATAGCTGTATAGACAGCTCTTTGAAGCTGTGGCTCAGGCGGGAGCTTGGGCCTGAAGTAAAGGAAGGGGTGGGCTCCAACACAAAATTTGCCTTTAAAAGCTGGGAAAAAACCAGTAAAAACTGGTAATTGCGCAAGGTTAGAGTGCTAAGCCACTGCTTTGTATGCATGGCTGTGGCAGATTCTCTCTAACAAAGGAGAAAGTTACATGGTCAACCCTCACTTTCAAAAACAACTCTGAGCTGCTTCAGAGATCTCCAGAGTAATGTGTAGGCCAAGTGTCTTGGACTGGTAAAAATGCCAGCATCCAGAGTTTGCATCCTGCTTCAAAAGTTCTATTCACTATTTGCTGTGAATTTCCATGTTTCAGTTTCAGAATTCTATAGCACAACTATATATATACACACACACACACACACACACACAGATTTCAGACTTGTTAAATTAAAAGTCAGTATACTAATTCAATATATTCATTTCAATAAAGCAATGTTTTAAAAATCACTCCTATTCTGCAACTTACAAGACAGCAGGCTGTTTTACAGTCACTTGTTTAAGTAGAGTGTTTATGGTCAAGTTGAAGAAATCTTTTTAGTTGGTTGAAAACTCAAGCCTCAACAAAAAAAGTAGTTATAGCAAAAGAGGCTCAAGTATTTATTTTTTTCAACTTTATTAGTGATCAGAAATAGTTACCTTCAGGTTCGTACTTCATTTTCAGCTCGTCCAGCATAACTCGCAAGTTCATGTTCTCACTTTGGCATACCTGCAGGTGCCTCTCATTGGCAAAAAGCTTCCTTTCTACCTCCAGAACCCTCTGGCTCTCATATAAAGCTTTCATCCTCTGTAAGGATAGTTCGTTTCTCAAAGTTTCGGTCTCCTTACTGGGAAGGAAAAGGAATTGACCAGTTTGAAATTCACAAGGGTCAAATTAGGTAACAATTTACAGTGAGCTTTCAAAGCTAAAGTATTTGGTTGCTCAAACCCTCTTAGAACAATTAACTGCAATTGGAAGTCCAAATCCTCTAGGGAGCTTTGAAAAATCCCAACCCAAAGTTGAATTTTGAAGTCTCTTCATTTCTCAAATAGGAATAATAGTTTAATTAATGGAGAACACAAGGTACTTAAACAAGCAGTTAGGTAACACTGTAGTGAAAATTATACAATACAACTTTAATCTGAGAACCCTCCCTCCCAAATAACAACCTGTGCATGGACACATACAATTTAGTTTTGTATTCAACTTCAGAGCCTGTATTTGCAAGGTTTGGACTGGGAGTAGTCCATTTGAACTAAATACTGAAGACTGGGGGACAGATCTAAATTATCATAGCTCCACGGAAGCCGAGGCTTTGCTCCTCTGCATACAGTACCAAATTGGGTCATTTTAGTAGAAGACTATACCACTGTTATTCTGTATGATCAAACCTAGACTTCAAACCAGAAGGAAGTTCCTAATAATATTTTAGATACACAATTTTCTCTTTAATTTGAAATAAGTGTAACATGTAACCTTAGACTGGGGGTGGCAATGGCATTAAATTTATATACAGCTAAGGATGAAAGTAAAGCCAAGGACCTCTAGAACTAAAATCCAAGACAATCAAAACTAAGAAACCCTAGAGTAGTAGTAAAAGCCACACAATGTCTTTCACAATCACATCAATAAAAGATTTCGGTTTCCTGGACCAAGAGAGACTAATATAAAAGGTTAACAAAACAAAGACGAAAATGAGCATTCTAGGTGTTAAAGAAGGGGCATGCTGAAGCCAGGCTGCAAAGGAATCCTAGAGGGCATTGTCCCTGGGGAGGCACTCTATGCCAATGAGATAAAAGGGCTTCAGTAACATCGAAGGGATCTGTAGCCCTATGGAGAGCAGAGGAGATAAAAAACGGTTACCTACCTTTTTGTAACTGTTGTTCAAGATGTGTTGTTCATGTCCATTCCAAGCAGGTGTGTGCGCGCCGCTAGTGCATGCCAGCCGGAAGATTTTCCCCTAGCAGCGTCCATGGGGTCGGCCTTGGTGCCCCCTGGAGTGGCGCCTCCATGGCGCCCTATATAGGGGCCCACCGACCATCCACCCCCTCAGTTCCTTCTTGCCGGCACTCCGACAGAGGGGCAGGAGGGTGGGTATTGGAATGGACATGAACACCACATCTCGAAGAACAGTTAAAGAAGAAAAAACGATTACCTACCTTTTTGTGAGTGATTGTTCATGTCCATTCCAAGCAGGTGACTCACAAGCCTGATCTTAGGTGGTGGGGTCGGAGTTCACTGCGGATTGGAGCACTGCGCGGCCGAAGGCTGCATCGTCTCTGGCCTGGTGTATGATGGCATAGTGCGATATAAATGTGTGGATTGAGGACCACGTGGCAGCTCTGCATATTTTCTGTGTTGGGATCTGAGCCAGGAACGCTACGGAGGAGGCCTGTGCCCTTGTGGAGTGGGCCGTGATCGGCGGGGCAGGCACGTTAGCCCAACCGTAGCATTCTCGGATGCAGGCCGTGATCCATGAGGAGATCCGCTGTGACGAGACAGGAGTCCCTTCATACTGTCGGCCATGGCAACAAAGAGTTGGATTGACTTCCTGAACGGCTTGGTTCTTTCAATATAGAATGCCAGGGCCCTGTGGACATCTGGGGAATGCAGCCTACGCTCCGTGCCGGAGGAGTGTGGCTTAGGGTAGAACACAGGGAGAAAAATGTCTTGACCCATGTGGAATTGGGACACCACCTTCGGAAAGAACGCCGGGTGTGGCCTGAGTTGGACTTTGTCTTTGTGGAAGACAGCGTATGGAGGCTCGGACGTCAGTGCTCTGAGTTCCGACACCCTCCTGGCCGAGGTGATAGCCACTAGGAATGCAACCTTATATGAGAGATATAACAGAGAGCACGTAGCCAGGGGCTCGAAGGGGGGCCCCCCGTGAGGGCTGAAAGGACCAAATTGAGGTCCCAAGCCAGTGCTGGTTGCCGAGTATGCGGGAACAGTCTGTCCAGGCCCTTGAGGAAGCGACCAACCAATGGGTTCGCGAAAACTGAACCACCTTCCGCTCCTGGGTGGAACGCTGAGATGGCTGTCAAGTGGACCTGAACCGAAGAGAGGGAAAGTCCTAGCTGTCTCAAATGAAGCAAGTAGTCCAGGATAAGAGGGATCGGGGCGAGCAATGGAGCCTGTCCCTGCTGTTCGGCCCAGATGGAGAAGCGCTTCCACTTGGCCATGTATGTGGCCCTGGTGGAGGGTTTTCTGCTACCGAGAAGGACTTGCCTGACCTGCTGAGAGCATTGCATCTCCACAGGGTTTAGCCATGGAGCATCCAGGCTGTGAGGCGGAGCGACTCCCGGTTCGGGGGCGGAGATGGCCCCGATCCTGCGAGATCAAGTCTGGGTGCAGGGGCAGCGTGAGGGGCGCCCGTGTGGACACGTGCAGGAGCGACGTGTACTGGTATTGGCGCGGCCACGCTGGCGCTATCAGGATGACACGAGCGTGATCTCTGTGGATCTTGGAGTACCCTGTGAATCATGGGAATCGGGGGGAAGGCGTAAAGCAGGCCACCTTCCCACGAGAGGAGGAAGGCATCCATCAGGGATCCTGGACTGCGCCCCATGAGAGAGCAGAAACGTCGACACTTCCTGTTTTCTCTCAAGGCAAACATGTCTATCTGGGGATAGCCCCAGAAACAGAAAATTGAGCGTACTACATCCTGGCGAAGGGACCACTTGTGACCATGGAACGAGCGGCTGAGGGCGTCCGCCAGACTGTTCTGTTCCCCTGGGAGGTAGGATGCCATCAGGTGAATTGAGTTCTGTACACAAAAGTCCCATAACGCGAGGGCTTCCCGGCACAGGGGAGAGAAGTGTGCACCCCCGTTTGTTGATCTAGAACATCGCCGATGTATTGTCCCTGAGGACTGAAACGCACCTGCCCACCAGGTGAGATTTGAAGGTCAGACAGGCTAGACGCACCACCCTTAGCTCCCTGACGTTGATGTGTAAGGAAAGGTCCTCTGGTGACCAAAGGCCTTGGGTCCCGAGGTTCCCCAGATGCGCCCCCCATCCCAGATCCGATGCATCTGTTACCAAGGATAGGGAGGGCTGGGGGCTGGCGAAGGGTACTCCTGCGCAGACCTCCCGCGGGTCGAGCCACCACTGGAGGGAATCCAGCACCGTTCGGGGGAGCATCACCACAGAGTCTAGGGCGTCCTTGGCCGGCCGGTATACAGTCGCTAACCAGGCCTGGAGAGGGCGCAGCCAGAGCCTGGCGTGGCTCACCACATATGTGCACGCAGCCATATGACCCATTAACTTGAGGCAGTTTCTTGCTGTGGTGGTTGGGAATCGTTGGAGACCGAGAATGATTTCGGACATGGACCAGAACCTGGACTCTGGCAGGTACACTCTGGCGTGTGTCGAGTCTAGAACTGCCCCTATAAATTCTATTCTCTGGGTGGGTGATAGGGTGGACTTGGCCTCGTTAGCAGGAGGCCGAGCTCGAGGAAGGTCTGTCTGATGAAGACCACCTGAGCCACCACCTGTGCCTTGGCACGGTCGTTGATGAGCCAATCGTCCAGGTAGGGGAACACCTGAATCCCCCACTTGCGCAGGAAGGCTGCCATGACTGCCATGCACTCTGTGAAGACCCTCAGGGCTGCTGACAGGCCAAAAGGCAGAACCGTGAACTGAAGATGGTTGTTGCCCATGACGAATCTGAGGTAACGCCTGTGTTGGGGGATTATTGCAATATGAAAATACGCATCCTTCAAGTCGAGGGCGGCATACCAGTCCCCTGGATCCATGGAGGGAATGATAGAGGACAGGGAGACCATGCGGAACCTGAGCTTCTTTACAAACTTGTTCAGATGCCGTGAGTCCAGAATAGGTCTAAGGCCCCGTTTCGCCTTCGGTATTAGGAAATACTGGGACTAGAAGCCCCTGCCCCTGAGCAACTTCCTCCACTGCCCCTGCTACGAGGAGGGACTGCACTTCCTGAATTAGAAGTTGCTCGTGAGAGGGGTCCCTGAAGAGGGACGGGGAAGGGGGCTGGTGGGGCGGGAGGGAGGAGAACTGGATAGAATATCCCCTCTCTACCGTGCGAAGCACCCAACTGTCCGATGTGATTCGGGACCAGGCACGATAGAAGGGGGACAGGTGTGACAAAAAGGAAGGGTTGGTAGGATCCAGAGTCCTGACCAGTAGGTCGTCCCCAACCGTACCCTCAAATTGGGGGTCTAGGCCCCGATGGGGGCCTTGGCTGGCCGGATGACTGGCCGGGGGGCTGTTGTTGCCTCCTTCTGCCGTTCCTGCCCCGCCTACGCAAGGCGTCCGTGCGGTGCTGAGGCTGGTAAGGTCGCGGGGCCGGTTGCAGCCTGAACTGCCTACGTTGGGTGACTGGGGTGTGCAATCCCAGAGTGAAGGGTAGCCCTTGAGTCCTTTAGGCTATGTAGCCTCTTGTCCATCTTTTCGGAGAAGAGCATGGGCCCTTCGAAGGGGAGGTCCTGGATAGTCTGTTGGACCTCATGTGGAAGGCTTGAGACCTGAAGCTAGGCTCCCCGCCTCATAACCAGCCCGGTCGCCAGTGTGCGGAAGGCTGCATCCGCCGCATCCAGGGCTGCTTGGAGGGATGCCCGGGAGATTAACTTCCCCTCCTCTATGAGAGCAGAAAACTCTGTTCGCGATTCCTGGGGAAGGAGTTCAGCGAACTTAGACAATGCTGAGCATGTATTGTGTCCATACCGGCTCACTCTAGCCTGTTGGTTGGCTATATGTAATTGCAGTCCCCCTGTTGAGTACACCTTTCTGCCAAACAGATCCCAACTGTTTGGCCTCCCTGTTCTTCGGTGCAGACCCTTGGAACTCTTGACGCTCCCTTTGGTTGGCCGCATCCATGACCAGAGAGTCCGGGGGAGGGTGGGCATACAGGTGCTCGTGGCCTTTGGAGGGCACGAAGTAGCGCCTCTGTCTTTTTGGCCGTAGGGGCCAACGAAACTGGCGTCTGCCACCGAGTGTGGGACGTATCAGCTATCGTTTTGATCAACGGTAGGGCTACCCTGGATGGTAGCGAGGGGGCCAAGATGTCCACTACCGGATCCACATCCACCTTGATCTCCTCCGCTTGGATCGTCAGGCTCTGGGCTGCATGCTTAAGTAGTTGCTGAAGCACCCGGTTGTCCTCTAGTGCCGATGCCGTTGAAGTTCCCGCAATCGCCTCATCCGGAGAGGAAGAGGAGGAGATCACCTGCGAAGGGCCTTCCTCTGTACCCTCAGTCTCTGCAGGGGCCAGATGCTCACGGTACTGCGGTTGCGTGGCCGGTGCGGACACGAGATGTGGCACCGCGGCCGGTACCGGGGTCGACACTGAACGACGAGGCGTGCTGGGCGGTGCCTGCGGTGTCGGAACCATGGTCCCTGCCGATACTGGTGTATGACTAGGGGGTGCCGGACTTTGTTGTGGCACACCCCTGTCGGACGGCAGTGCCGGTGGTGGAGGCATTTGCGCCGGAGCCACCAACGTCGAGGAGACCGATGCAGACCTTGAGCGAGGGCCGTACGCCTGTCCCACAGACTGATGGTAAGCCCAGGGAGTCCAGAATGCCACTGCTGCTGCCACTGTGGCGAGTAAGGTTGTTGGCTCGCCTGCGAAGCCGACCTCCTGCTCCTCGATCTACTGGAGTGGTAGGACTCCGCCTCCGAATCGGAGATCTCCGAATAGGAGGACCTAGGGGAAGCAGTACCCACTGTCGCCGGTGAGTGGTGCCGCGGGGCCAGGGAACGCTCCCTCTGCGCCAGTGCCGGTGGAGTGGCGCGGGGCAGGGACTGAGGCGATATCATGGCTGGCTTGCCCCTTGATTGTATTGGGGGGTAGGGCCATGGTCGGCGGCTCTTTCCACCGGTGCGGAGAGGCCGGCACCGGGAGGCTTAATAAGTCAGAGGCCGCCTTGAACGCCTCCGGCGTCGATGGGAGACGCACGTCCTCGCTGAGGTCCGGGGATCTCGACCGGTCCGGACTCGACCGCACCCTCTCCAGGGCAGTAGTCAACAGAGCTATAGGAGGATGAGTTTGTGGCACGGCTTGTCCCCCTGCATTTGTGGACGCCACCGGCCTTTTAAGGTCCTGGTGGGGTGATCGGCCCCTCACCGGCCTCTTCTTTTTAGCGGGCACCGGAGATGGTGATCAGTGCCTTACGGAGGCCGATTTTCTACGTCCCGACTCTCTCCGGTGCCGGGACTTAGAGGTTTTGGAATGGGCCTCCTGCCTTGTTACCGGTGCCGGGGCACTGCGCACCAGGGAAGAGGCGCTGGATCAACCGGCTCGGGGTCCAAGTGTGGCCGTAAGGCTGCCTCCATCAGGAGCACTTTGAGTCTCTGCTCTCTGTCCTTAAGAGTCCTGGGACGGATACTGCACCGGTCTCTCTGGTGGCCCTCTCTGAGGTACCTTAAACAGGAAGAGTGCAGGTCACTCTTCGGCATAAACTTCCCGCAGTCCTTGCAGAGTTTAAACCCTGGGGGCCCGGGCATGCCCCAGCGGGGCGACGAGTACTTTGGGGGTAAGCCCCCCCCAACAACTATCAACCATCTACAACTAACTCTAATTCTAAACTAAGAGAGGAAACTATTATATACACTGAAAGGGGACACTGCTATGCTTGCTGCAAGAGCGAGCAAAGTTCCACCTAGCTGTCACCAGTGGTAAGAAGAAACTGAGGGAATGGAGGGTCAGCGGGCCCCTATATAAAGGTGCCATGGAGACGCTACTCCAGGGGGCGCCAAGGCCGATCCCACGGACGCTGCTAGGGGAAAATCTTCCGGCTGGCGTGCACACCACGCCACGCGCACACACCTGCTTGGAATGGACATGAACAATCACTCGAAGAAGAACTCGTTATTACATCCTCTCTCAATACCAAGGGACAGGGCCATAAGCCACTGTTGGACAGGAAAGCATCTGGCTAGGTTGACAGTGCCAGCATGCCTGGCATTGGTGCATTTAATATAGACTGGGTAGCATTAAAGGGAGTGGTATCAATGAGGCTAGTTCCATAATGACCAATGTTGAAGCACTGTGCTGAGGTGATCCAATGCTCTGGCCTCTGTACTAGCAGCAGTTAACTCCAAATCTCAAGACTGCACCAGAGCACATTTGTGGGGAATAGGGATGCCCCAGACAGAACAGACATCTCATGTATCCATCATTTATTGGAACTGCTGCCTGGCAAAAGGGGCAATACTTAAAGCCAGAAGACTTAAGATAGATCATTCCCAAGAACTGGGGGCGGGTGGGGAGGGAGAATTAACAAAGCAAAACAAAAGAAGCAAGTTAAAACTTCCAAATAATAAAATTATCAGAATTTTACCAAACAGGCTGCTACCCTAACTAACTGTACTCAAAACTAATATGCACACAGCTAAGTGTAATTTTCAAAAAGGAGGTCTAAAATCCATGGGCACCGAGGAGCTCCATCTCAGTCACGAGTGGTGAGAAATAACTGACGGGCCGTTGGGGCCACTCGGTATTTTGTGCTACTGATACACGCAGGACACTGATGACCTAAAGATTCCAATTTTGAGCACCCGGGGTCCATGTGCACTGAGAGCAGAATACGTGTGGACAAACGAAGAAATGGCAGAGAGTAAGACAGCTGTAAATTAATGTAGATTACTAGTATTTTTTTAAACATTACAAAAAAACGTAAAATTCTATTTCTAGGCTTTAAACCCCCACACACTTACTTGGAGTTCTCAAGTTTCATTTGAAGCAGATCTGTATAATAGCCATCTTCAAATTCTCCACCTATTGAACTGCTACAAGAAGGTTTTGATTCTTTCATGTTCTCATATAAATTCTGATGCAAGGGAAGAGTTCAAAAAATTGTCAACTAGTATTTTTTTCAGAAGTGCATTAGTTCTATTCTATTTAGAGTTTTCATTGTTTCATCAAAATTTTAATACAACCGCTGCAGACAAAGCTACCTGCTAGGTAGTCTTTATAAAGGGATTTAAACTTGAGGTATCAAGAGCTTCATTTCATTTGAGTGTTTTCATCCAAAATTTTGTTTTAGAGAAGCAGCCAGAACTGAAAAAGATCCTCCAGTCTCAAAGGTACACAAAAAGCCTTGATTAAAAATTTACCCTCCTTTTCCAGTATAGAGTAAGCTACCTAAACATTCTGTAGACTAGTGAACAACAGAATGAAAAAGTCTCCTTGTTGATACCAGAACTGGGACAGTCACAGTAACAATTGTCCCTCGGATCCCCTTCTTCAGCTCTGTCAGAGCATCCACCAATGTCTCAAGCTTCTTAGCCCTCACTTTTCTTCGAGCAGGAACCTGTATCCCTGCCCCTCCACATTGAGTATTTAGGCTTCCAGCTGCCCTGCAAGCCAAAGCATTTATCCCAGCAGGTCTGACCTTAGTCTAGCCCTTGAAGTACGTACGTACGTACATACGTGCGTGCGCACACACACAGACACACACACACACACACACACACACACACCTGAATACCAGTGACCAGCTAGCCTTTACAAAGCAAAATACATTTACTTTAAAGGGGTAAGTGAGGGGGAGAATATGGTACTGCTGAGAAAATAATGGAATATTGCATCCAGTTCTAGTGTCCACATTTTTTTACTTTTTTAAATTAGAGGGTGCTGAGAAGAGCTACAAAAGTTATTCAAGGGCCAGAGAAAATGCTTCACAGTCAATGACTTATAAAGCTCTGTTTAGCTTATCAAAAAGACAGGGAATGACTTGATTACACTGTACAAATACCTTCATGGGGAGAAAGATATCGGATACCAAAAGGCTCTAATTTAGTGAAAAAGGGATAACAAGAACCAAATAACTGGAAGCTAAAGCCGGACATATTCAAATTAGAAAAAACAGACATCTTTAAACAATGAGGGTAATTAGCTATTTGAAAAAGCTAACAAGAGTAGTAGCAGATATTCTATTTCTTTAAGTCAAGACTAGAAGCCTTTTTGGAAGATATGCTTTAGCCATACATATTATTGTGCTCAATACATGTGGAACTGGATGAAATTTAATGATAGTCTGTGATATGTAGGTGGTCAGACTAAGTGATAGAATGGTCCCTCTGGCCTTAAAATACAAGAATAAAAATTTGAGTTGTGGGACTCTTTAGGACTTAAAAGATGCATACAATAGTTGTAAAATGGAGACTGTTACCAACCTAAATAAGAGTTGTGAGCACCGTTGAGATTATATGGAATTACAAGTAAGAATTTATACTGAAAGCCTCCTCTCATATTTTGAAGAACTTATTTGTCCCACATTACCATAGTAAAACTTCTCAAGTTTCTTTTGTGAAATACATACCTTACATTTCTCCAGTTGCCTCACTTTCATTAGAAGATCTTCTATTTCACCATTCTTTTGTTCTAACATTGACTGCAAGCGTTCTAGCTGCTCAAGTTCTGCCTGAGAACCTTTCATCTGAAGCAGCGTAGCCATTTGTAGCTAAACATCAAGCAAAAATCATACCAATGTTAAGACTCAAAGAAAAACCTTTCAGTACTCATATCCTTACCCAGGAAACTTAGGGGACTGCAGTCTTAACTCAGCAGCTGACATTCACTGCAATACTTTTTTAAATACTTTTCTACTCCTACAAGTACAGAAATGGCATTGAGTTATCTCAATTGTCTTATTAAATATGCTCTTATACAATAAAGATGGATTTTTAATACTTGCTGGTCTATGCAACTCAACCTGGGCTGGTTTTCAAGTGTCATAGCTGTCCTTATTGGGCATTACCTAGTGACATTCTCCAAGCCTAGTTACACACTCAGTGACTCCTCTGTAAGCCCAGCTAAAATTTCATGAACAATTGTGTTGGTTATACACAAGAAAGCTATGAGATACTTGTTTTGTATGGCTAAACAAAAACAAAGCAGTAAAAAAGGAATCATCTAGTACACACAGGGAGCAGATCCAAGAAGATGCCTTTGTGTAGTCATTTAGCCAGAGCAGTCAACAGTCAAATAAAATTCCATATACAGTCCACATGTTCAAAGAACAAACATTAATATCTACCACACCCATTTCTATTATAAGGCATATGAATAATTAAAAGATTGATTTCAGCTGTAGCCAAACAGAGAGAACACTTAAATGTGGATTTAAGACCATGGATTCAACTGACTTGCTTTTGAAGTGATTTTCAAAGTAACAGGGGGGGGGGGGGGGGAACTTTCATCTGAAGTCTTTTGTTGTGTTATTTTATTAAATTAACATCTGCACCATCCAAAAAAATCTTCACTACATGCCCTATAAAGTCAGAAGGTCTGTCCTCTACATCCAAAAGACTCCAGTTTAATTTATATGTCTAATGTGCGTACGTGAAGTACAATAAAAAAGAAGCAACATGCAATTAAGCAACACAGAATAGCAGTGTATATCCTCTATGTAAGAGCACAGGCTGAAAGTAATGCTATGGCAAAGACATTATGAATTGTATTTCACGGATTTAGTAAAAACAGCTTTAACAACCTAATACACAGTTACTATTGAACGAGACCGTATAGAAGTGATAGGGATAGGAATAAAGACTATATCCAAGCATGTATGTTACCAGAAGTAAAATACAGATGGATAAATGAAGTGCATTAACCCTTGAAGTCCCTGAGGTCAAGTATATTCATCCTTAAGATTTGTAACAGACAAGAGCTGGTAAGTTTCTGCTTCTTCCTACTCCTTCCCCCTCCTCCTAATCTACCCAATTCCATCTCTCCCAACTCCTCTTTCCTGAGAGATGCTACCCTTACTCCTCCCAGCAGGCAGAAAGCTCATTTCACACTTCCTCTACTCATTTTAGAGTAGAGCCAGTCTGCACTGTCAGATTCTATGCCCCCAATACTGCTCCTCATGCTGATTGCCAGTCTAAGGAAGGGAAGGAATTGGCTGTGGGAAGCAATATTTCAGATGTGATAAAGTTATGGAAATCAACAACTTTCCACTACACTCAGTGACTGGACCCACAGGAACAGGCTAGTCCTTAATACATTTGGAATTTATGTGGGGAGGGGAAAGAGGGTGGCAACAGTGGGTATCCACGCAGTGTAGGATGCTCCAAAGCATGTAGTGACAATATGATTTCCTCTTCCAGAGCTAGCCAATGCTAATCCAACTGAGGACTGTTAAACGTAGTAGTGTTAGGCAAGAACTGAAGAACATTACAATGCAGAGTGGAGTAGAAAGGAAACTGATAAGGAAAAAGAACTAACATGGCTAAAGGACAAGGAAATAAATCCATCTTGGCAAAAGCAATGCTTGTCAGAAAAGGCATTTCGAATATTGGTAAGAAGCACAACAATTGGGGAAAACGATCACATTTTAAAACATGGGAACTGAGACAGTCACTATTCTTACCTTTCATATTTACATTTAGAATTTCATTTTTTGCTTTTACTTATCTTTGCTGGGAAATGAACAATTCAGACATCAGGTGTCCAAAATGCAAAAATCAGTCAAAATCAAAACTAATATTTATAATAGTGAAATATCAAAGTCTTTTTGAAGGCTAGCCATTTTAGTTGCTCAAACGTTTGCTGGGAATACAGAGCAAGAAATTTCATCTCAGCTGTTCAACTGGGTGCATATATGCACCAGATTATTATCTTAAGTAAGCAGAACTTCTACAGTAAATCTTTTTCCTAGTCTTTTATCTTTTGGAAGAGGATTGTTTTAAGCTTATTTCTGCATCCAGGTAATACTGTGGAGGGAGTGGAAGTTCCTATCCCACCCATAATCATCATCCCCACCATGGTAGTTGAGTCCTTTCTGTGCATCCAGTCCCACTCTTTCCCAACTCAAAACTGGCCCCTTCACCTTAAGATAATGCAAATGCTGGCTTCCAGGCTATCTTTCCCTTGGAGTTTTTCCTGCAAGATGGGACAACTATGTTCTAACTCAGGAGGGTGCACGATATTTGATGTTTAGATGTGATCATTTTAATTGACAAGCAAGTTGGGAAAAAAAAGTACTCAAGGCTTGAGAAAAGCATGACTTGTGAAGTATGACTGAGTTGAGTATTGGGACAGGGATGACAGATCAGCAGAGCAAGAAAGCAATACATAGTAAAAGCAGCAGGATCAGAGGAAAAACCATGAAAACATGCTTAGTTCTTGGCATGACCTGCAATGCATAGGCAGCCAACATCATTATTGACAACCTCTATTAAGGCCCAGAAGTAAATGCTTAGAGTACAAATAGATTCCAACATTAGGGCAAAAGGACAACGAATGAGTACTGGGGGTAAAACAAGGACAAAAATAGGATAATCATTTTGCATGCTTTCAAAAATCTGTATTGAACGACTGACAGCAGAACAAAATAGCTACTACTAATGAAGTAGCTTTAGTCTAACGTTTGATTTCTTGGGATGACTGATATTTCTTAAGTTGCCAATAAAATATCCTTAACAATAAATTAAGTCTTCATGTGATACTAAACTGAACACACAAAATCCTCAGACATATTCTGTTTGTTATTTTTGCATGAATACTACTTGTATGTTTTTTAACTATAGCCTGTGGAATCAAATTCCTAACCTGTTTTCTCAAGCAGTGTCTTGTCAGACCCCAAGGAAACCCTGGAGTATTACAATAATGGTCATACCTTCATTCTTTGCAATTGTTCTCTAGTGAATGCATGCTGTTTTTGTAGTGATTGATATTTTACTTTCACACTGATCAGCTGACGTTCCATTTCTGCCCTACGGTCCTCCACCTATAGAACATTGTTAACACATTATTACTATGGAAATCATAACGATGGTCAATTGGATTTTAAGATTTTTTAAGATGTTAAGGTAAGAATATGAGGTTACAGTGATCACCAGTAACACTTCTGGAAGTGTGACTTCTCCAACAAAACACTTCATGTACCTCTAAGGCATCTAAAATGATTAGATATTGCCTTACTACCAGGAGCAAGGTCAATGGAGATTTTAACCCCTTGTGCTATGGTTATACAAGTAAAATAACTCCTAAAATCCCTTAGTAGTACTGTACACACTCGATTTCCCTACTGACATTAGTGCAAGTTGTCATGAAGTTTTTATATACCTAAAAAAAGGTCTCATGCCAGTTACACTAATTTACGGAGAAGTTGGAACAGAACTACAACATGGTACTCCCATAAATGCCAGGTAAAAAGATCTGATTCCCTTCAGCTGATTGGATTATCCGGTACTTGTATGTCTCAACTACTAAGCCAAACACAGGCAGGCTCCTACATGAGGTCAGACACAGTCCCATCAGTTAACTCCCCAAATACATTAGATAAGAGCATCCAGCTGAATATTCCTTCCCAATTTATGGTTTTCATTTAGCTTATTATAGTAGCCAAAAGTACACCATCAACCCTCAATTTTTTCCAAAGTGGTCCATTTAGTTTTATTAATGTTGCTACCATACTTAACTCCCACACCACTTTAGAGATTAGAAACAGAGGTCTACTACTCAGTCCCCACAAATAGCTCAACATGGTAGTCTTTGAAGAGAGTCATAGTTGATGACTCAGGAACACAAATACATCAGCATTTAGTGTGTAACTGAAGGTACAAATTTATAGTGATTGAAGTATTTATAGCTCCTCCCAATGAGCACATTCTGCAATAATTGTGACATAATATACCTCTGCAAACAGAGAATTGCCTTTACTGGTAGGGTCCAAAGCCTGAACCAGTGCATGATCCAGCTGACCTTGAAGTGCCTGGTTAGCTTCACGAGCTTTCTAGATTAAAGCCAGAAAAACAAGAAGTCAGTAAAAAGGTGTCTGTTTCTATTACAGGTCAGAACTATATAGAAATGTTTTCAAGACATGAGCTAAATGCCTCACTGTTGTTGCTGGAGCTTTGCCATTCAGCTCAAGCCATTAGAAGAGTTCTGTAAAAATACTTCAGCAACTGATTATTAATAATAAGACAACTAATTTGATAGAACTGTAATTAAGGCAAGTATATCTAATTCTCCCTTTAGAGGATCAGTTTGTTATAAGCTGCACTCCAGTTTTTCAGGCTACCAGGGTGGATACAATGAGAGACGATGCCAGCTTCTCTCCGCATTCAAACGCTACTGGGAAGTAGTAAGCACAGAGTAAGAAACAAGCAACGGGACAGGAAGAAGCAGCAGAATTGAAAGTATAGTAGAAAAAAAGGTAGAAATGGGTATGCCCCCTATAAAGCCTGAGCTTTGTAATTTAAAAAATTAGGAATCAGTGGTACCTTCCCACTAGAGGATGCCTCTACACTGGAATGGAAACCTACTCACTAAATCTTCCACATACACTTTCCTCACATTACTAGGGACCTTTTCCTTCTCTGTAAAGTCGCCCAACTCCCAAGAGTGCAAACTGAAGGATTTTAAACACCTTGCCTGCAGCAACTGGAATCCCTGAAGACCTGGCATTTTGGATGGAATGATGAGCAGGGTACAATCTGTGTGTGTACTCCATACGTTTGAGTTATATCTTCCGACTTCTAGGAATGCTCATTCATTGCCACCTTCCAAAGGGGCCACAATAACAAGTGATGGGAAAGTTTTTTCCCCAGCAACTGTAGAAAGAACTAGCTTTCTAGAGGTTTCTAGAGCTATAACCACCTCTTCCTCACTGCAACAGCAATGTGATCCTCATATAGAGGAATTAATTTCAAAGTCTCCCTCTTTCTGAAATAATGGGAAATACAAATTCAGCCACAGGCTTGTTTAGCATCATTCCACTTAATCGCGACACCAGGAGGAGTCCACTGTGCCTGCCAAATCAACATTGCCAATTTTCTATGATGGCTAGTCATAGAATTCCAGCCAACCATCCTGAAGAAACGCTAGTGTATCTGAGGCAGGAGTAATCAAGGCAACATCAAGAGACCAGGGCTCCATTGTGCTGGAGACTATACAACCAAGGAGGTCTCTGACCTGAGAAACTCTGTTTCCTCTCACACAGAAGCATAACTTTTAGTGCTCTCTATCAGGCTCCCAGGTAAGACAGGACAGTGAGTCTATCGGGACATGCAGAGAAGCCTGATAATCATGTGAAGCCCCTCCTCAGGCTGCAGTGTTGTGGGAACTATTCTTGTCCGGTTTTGAGCCCAAGAATCTTTGCTCTTCCAGGGAATGGGGCTTAGTCAGAAGGGCAGGAAGGGGTGTCTCTCCAATCCTCTGTTGTTCCATAGGTTCCATAGGGGGGGGAAGGATAGCTCAGTGGTTTGAGCATTGGCCTGCTAAACCCAGGGTTGTGAGTTCAATCCTTGAGGGGGCCACTTGGGGATCTGGGGCAAAATCAGTACTTGGTCCTGCTAGTGAAGGCAGGGGGCTGGACTCGATGACCTTTCAAGGTCCCTTCCAGTTCTAGGAGATGGGATATCTCCATTAATTGTTATAGGTTAGCTCCATATTAAAGTGCAAGGAGCACTTCAGACAGTCTCTGACCAGATCTGAAACACACAGCGATTCCACTCCCCAGTAAGCTATACCTTCATGGGATTACAGAGGGGAAAAAGAGAAATAACTTCCCATGTTCAAAATGGTACATAAAACTATAGGCACAGTACCTCTAATGCATTGTAGTAAGAAACTATTTCCTTTTCTCTCTCTTCTTTTTCTCCTTGAAGGCGTTCCAACTGGTTGCGTAGGTTGCTGTTTGCAAGTTCTAGTTGCTCTTTACTGTATTGCAATTCATTCATCTTCTCTTCAACACTGGCCTGTCCCAAAAACAAGTAGCAGCAAAATGATTTTACTTGTATTTTCTACTTTTTATCAGTAGTTAGGTACTCTGGCATCAGTCCAACTTTTTTTCAGTGTAACCTACTCAAAAAAGAAAGCTCTCACCCTCTAGTGCCAATCATACTAAGGTAAAAAGTTTTCCCCCAGTCATCATTACTAGCTTTTGGAAGAACCATATTAGCATTCCAGTTTATTCACAAGATGCAGAGTACTGTACATGACCTTCTAAAATTGTGTTAGTACAGGAAGAGACTAGAGGTAGACATTTGTCTTCAAATAGAATGTTCATACCATGAACTTACACTGATAAAGTATTAGTCACATACCTTCACACTTTCAAGTTCCGTTAGTTCAATCTGGAGATTTAGCACTTCTGAAGACATGGTTTCATGTACACGTTCAGACATCATGTGCAATTCTTCCGCTTTAGCATTAATGACTGCCTTTTGATGTTCCACTTTGTGCTTTAGTTGTTTCTCACTTAGTCGGGTTTCATCTAGGTCTGCTTTCAGCTTCTCCAACTTAAAAACACAGTAGTTAAGCAAAAATTGATATTGTAAGCATTGCCGGAGTCCCAGGCACAATTAACAGGACGAACCAAAGGCTGTGAATTAGGGTAGGCCTTACTAAAATAGTAATACTGGGTATCAGCTATTCCTGACCTAAGAGCATGATACAGAGATACACAGCATTCTCAGGTAACTACATAAACACATTCCTAAGAAATGGTACAGGAATGCACTGACCTCTCAAACTATCAGGTACAAGAATAAAGGTGGTAACTAACAACATCTGGAGTGTAATACTTAACTTGTTTGTATCAATGTATCAAAAGAGGTTATAGGAAGGACATCTTGTACCGGCCTAGGGGACAGTACAGGAACTCCTCACTTAAAGTCCTCCTGGTTAACATTGTTTCGATGTTAAGTTGCTGATCAATTAGGGAGCATGCTCGTTTAAAGTTGTGAAATGCTCCCTTCTAACGTTTGGCAGCCGCCTGTTTTGTCCACTTCTTGCAGGAAGAGCAGCCCGTTGCAGCTAGCTGGTGGGTGGCTGGAACCAGGGTGGTCCAGCAGTCCCCCTATCAGCTCCCCACTCCCCTAAGTTCCCTGTGCACCAGCTGTCCCCCCCCCCATGGCCTTGGCCCGCCCCGCCCCCTGGCGGGGGGCCCCCGCCCGCCCCTTCTTTTTTGGGGGGGGGGGGGGGGGGAGGAAATAGGGGCGCTAATGTCAGGGTGTCTCCCCCTCCCCCTGCACCCCACTTACCCCATCTTCCATAGAGCAGGGGGGACACAGGATGGAGGGAGGGAGCTTCTAGGCAGTAGCTGCGGGTCTCAGCAAGCTGATTTAATTAACAAGGCAATGTACTTAAGCCTGGGGTCAGCTACTTAAAGGGGAAATGCGCATTTTTTCTCTCACACACAGGGTGTGTCTCTCTGTCTGGACCTCCCTCCTTTCCTGCTGCCCTGTAGAGTGTTATGAGAGTTAACCCTTGAGGGCTCAGTCAATTGCTAGTTAATTTAGCAGTAAGGCATTCTCTGGGAAATATCCTACCCTCTGACTCCTCCACCTCAGCCAAGCTTCACAATCATCACTGTGTACCAGTATTAAATTGTTTGTTTAAAAAAAACAGAGAGAGAGAGAGAGAGAGAGAGAGAGAGAGAGAGAGTTTGTGTGAGTAAGTAAAATTAGATAGACAGAATTTCCCTGGAACTTAACCCCCTCATTTACATTAATTCTCATGGGGAAATTGGATTCGCTTAACATCGTTTCGCTTAAAGTTGCATTTTTCATAACTACAACGTTAAGTGAGGAGTTACTGTATTACATTATGTTGATTAAGCTGCTATGCTGTCTCGGGCATACATCTCTTAGTGTACCTGTAACCATTAAGCCAGGGCACTAGGACTGCACTTTGTCAACAGTAAACCTGGCCCTCACCACCAAACCAAGCACGTGGTCTTTATGAGTAACATCAAGGTCTGCTGAATCAACACGCTGCACCCTCTGCTAGGGCATAATATACTGGTTTTGTAACAGGCTACCCTGAAGCCAACCATATTGTTTTGTGACAACATTCTACCTTAGGTTCTACCTAAATTCCACATTGCCAACAAATAGCTGGCTTGAGTAAACCGCAGAACAAACATACTTATCTTGTATAGAATCAGCAATATTCATTTAAATATTGCTGATATTTTCCTCCCTCTGAAATTCTACCATAAGCAGCCTTTTGTCTCCAATACTGTTTTATTAAGTCTTAACTATTACTGTACTGGAAAGTTTGATTAAAAATAAGTAAATGGTCAGAAGGATTGACGGCTAACTAAACTCTGGAATTTTCAATATAGATACCAAGTACAAGGGGAAAAAACTAACTGCATGCCTGAACCATTCATGTGATTTTTTGAGGGTGATATTGTAGTTATTACTTAAGAAATAAGTTACCGTACATACTCGTTCATTAGCCCGTTCGTTTATAAGCCGACCTCCCAAGATGGTTAGGTAAAAATAGCAAAAACTGTATGACCCTTTCATAAGCCGACCCTATATTTCAGGGGCTGGCAAACTTTGGCTCCCGGCTCGTCAGGGTAAGCCGCTAGTGGGTCGGGACGTTTTGTTTACTTGGAGCGTCTGCAGGCACGGAGCCCCTCAGCTCCCAGTGTCCGCGGTTTGCCGTTCCCAGACAATGGGAGCTGCGGGAAGTACCATTTCCGAGGGAATGGACATCCAAGCGTCCTTCATCCACTGAGCGACCAGATTGATTTCGGGCTTCATAAGATTCCGCCTTTTGTCAACTTCGCCATACCTGAGCATATTGATTCACACCACATTTTGCATAGCCTGTCTTTAAAGCGTTTGTTCAGGCAGACATCAGGCGGTTGTAGAACTGAAGTTAAGCCTCCAGGTATTACAGCCAAAGTAGTTTTCATATTTTTGGCCACATTTTTCACCTCATCCATCTTGTGTGCCCTGAACATGTCCCAAACGAGCACAGCAGGTCTCTTGAAAAGTGCTCCCGGTCTCTTATTCCACACTTTTTCCAGGCATTCAATAGTCCCACTTTCATCCATCCATCCCTTTTTGTGTGCACATACAATGACACCAGCAGGAAATTTCATGTTTAGGCAAGGTTTTTCCCTTTTAAAAACAACAGGAGGGAGCTTTGATCCATTTGCCAAACATGATAAAACCACCGTAAAACAGATTTTTTCCATGGCCAGTGGTTTTAATTAAAACTGTTTTTTCACCAACACCAGTTACCGTTTTGTTGTTCGGGAGATCGAATGTCATTGGTGTTTCGTCCATATTTCCTATTTGTGACCGTTCAAATGCATATTCCTTTCGATATTTTATAATAAACCTTTGGAAAGAGTCGATCTTTTCTTCCAGATCTCTTGACCGCTTTTGCGCTATCTTTGTTGGCTGACAAAGACAGAGACCATGACAGTTCATGAAGCAAGTACACCAACCCGCTGATGTGGCAAACATTGACGGCTTTACTGACTTGTATTTGTCATCTTTCGACATTTGCAGAGCACGCAGACGAATTCCAGTTCTAGTGACAATGTACCCATTTTGTCAACGTTCAACAACCCAATTATTGAGATCTTTCTCTAGCTCAGGAAATGAAGCGCACCTTGTTGGACATTTTTTCTTGTTTCTTGGCATGTCTTTTAGTGTTTTATTTTTTCGCTGTTCTCTTACTTGCTTCTCATTGATGCAGAATTCACGAGCAGCAGTACAATTGTTTGCTTCTGCATATTCAACAAAGTTTGAACGCTGCATGATAAGACCTTTTTCTTTTGATTTCACCGTTGTTCATTTTAAATACTAGCATGAAAATAGATTATTATTGTAGTTATAGATTTTGTAGGACTTTACATAGTAATGTCACCTGCTTTATCATTGTCAAATTATTATTGTTCTTTGTTTATTTCAAAGCAGCCCTGTAAATTGGCACGTCTGTAGGGATAACAGGCTATTTCAATTTTATTAGCGATTCCATCGATTCTGCACATCATATTTTCATATTGGCTCAAGACTTATGAGGTCCGTTTCAAGCCAGTCTAGTCCACTAAACAAAGCCTTTGCAACTTTAAAAGGCTGCAGTATTAACATCAATAAATGGGTCAGCAAACTTTGGCTCCCAGCCTGTCAGGGTAAGCTGCCGGCGGGACGTTTTGTTTACCTGTAGCGTCTGTGCCACTTCCCACAGCTCCCATTGGCTGGGAACAGCGAACCGCGGCCACAGGGAGCTGAGGGGCTCCATGCCTACAGACACTCCAGGTAAACAAAACGACAATGTATTAGATATTCAATTCAATGATTCCATAGGAGTTTAAAATCATCAAATTTTGGCGTAGACCCGTTTATAAGCTGAATCCCGCTCTTTGTTGAGTCGCTTTTTTACCAAAAATATTCGGCTTATGAATGAGTATATACGGTAAGTAATCTTCCAAATCTTGCAAACATTCCTTTATATGCATGTCAGCAACATTTTAGCAGTTCATTACATCCCAAACCTTGTCTTTAAGTTGACTGATGTCTTGTCCGTGGATTCTTTCAAGTTGTTCTCGCTGTTTGTCCAGTTGCATATTTTGTTGCTGCTTAAGAGCATCACATTCAAAGCTCAAGCTTTCCAACATTCTATTCTTGAGCTCAACTTCTCTCTGAAGTGAATACTTGTCTTGTTCAAATTTCTGAAAAATAAATGTGATATTGATAAGTCTTTGTATCTTTTTAAGTGACTCCTCAGGCATCGGTTTATTTTAATGCATTTAGACTCGAGATCCAAGACCAACTAATTACTTGGACTTCTAACTCCAGCTGACCTGTCTTTTTCAAAAGTCATCAATTGCTTCATGAAGATTTTCATATCTGTCTCACAGGAAACAGCCATCCACCCAGAATTTTTGTAATTTATTTGGTAGTTCTCATGTTGCTCTAATTCTCCAGGCAGACTGCAGAGTCCTCCACCCGTTGTCCCATGTACTTAAGTTTGTGTTAGTATTTGGGCATGTCAGTCATGGACCATCTTGTGACATCACCATCCAACTAACGTGAGGAGCATGACCACAACATGAAGTACTTGAATGTGTTAGCATTTAACAGTCATTTTAAAATGTTAGCTTACGTGTTATGTTTCGGCTATTAAGGAAGAAAAGAATTATTCAAATGGTTACTCACTGTTGAACAACTTGATCTGAATGTCAGGAAGACATATGACAAAATAGATGCAAGTCCCATTTATCATTCCAGCTTTCAGTTCGAAGAACCATCTCAGTGGTTTATTACAAGAGTTCCAAAATAGCGTGCTAGCTAACTATAAAGGAGAGCTTGGGTTTCCTACATTTTATGCTTTCGTTCAGCTGGAAATTTGGAAAAAGATATTCCAAGGAGAGGATTGTATAAAAGCCTAAACCAATGGACTCTAATGAGACAGAATGGCAAAAACACCACTCTAGAATAGATGAGTATAACTTGGCACAATTTGATTGAAATCTAGAGATATCAGAAAAGGTCAATTTCAACTGACTATTAAAAAAAAAAGTATCCATCAGTAACAGCTGGCACAAGCATAACCTCCCACCTACAGGGATCATATGTCACCTGTGGCAGCAGAGAACTCTCTGCAGCCCTGCTGTCACATGAGTGAGGGAGCAAAGCTGTAACAGTGGAACTGCAGAGGGCTCCCTGCACAGCTCCAGGGTTGTTGATGCTGGATTCCTGCAGGCACAAGGTGTAGGAATCACTGCAGTCCTGCTCTGCCCTGCCACAGACCCCAGCCAGGGCCACAAGAAAAAAAGAATAGTGCTGGCAGGTGGGGAGGCCACCTCACTGCTAAGTGGTGCCTGCCTGTGGACAGCAGGGTGACCTCCCCTGTGGCCAGGGGATCATCTTCTTCCTCACAGTCCACAGCCTTCTCTGCGCCTGCAGAAATTAGGTGTCACCAGCCCTGCAGCAGTGCAAGGAGCCCTCTGCAGCCCTGCTGTCACAGCCCAACTCTCTCACCAGGTGGAAGAGCCGGGGTCCTCTGCTCTTCTCCACCAGGACTGCAGCCTTCCCCACAACTTGTGCCTGCAGGGATCCAGTACCATTAGCTCAGCAGCCCCAGAGGGAGCTCTCCGCAGCCCTGCTGTAACAGCCGTGCTCGCTCACTCCCCAGCCAGAAGTGCAGGACTGACCCCAGGCACAAAGTGTTCAGCAGCAAGGTGGCCTCCCCACACATCCAGGGTCTTGTCCTCCTCCTCACAACCCTGGCCATAGGTCTCTGCTCTGCCAGCGGCCCGCAGTGTCCCCCGCAAGACACCTTGTGCTCAAGTGTCTTGGGTTTGTCTGCCACACTGGAAGCTCCATCCCGCTTTCAGAGCTGCACTAACCATCCCCTGCTTAAATTTCCCACAACTGTAAAAATTAAAGTAGTTTAAAATCATAAAAAAGTGTTAAAAATGATATTGAAGTTACAAAATATATATATATTCTGCCAAATCCAACAAGAAAGTTCACCTCAGTTTTGGTGCTCAATTCACTCCGTAGCTCATCTAACTGATTCTGCATCTCATTTTGTTGCTCCAGTATATGCAAGCCATATTGTGCTGCCTTTCTCCGCTCATCTTCTGCTTCCTTCAGTTGGCGACGAAGATTAGAAACTGCCTCTGTCTCCATTTTATTTTCTCCCTCCAGCTTCTTTTGGAAGTCTGCACATACAAGACGAGCAAACAAATTTAGAGTCAACATAAAAACAAAGCTCAATATAAAAACCTAGTTTGTAGTCTAAAATTCCTATTCAACATTCAAGTATGATGTATGGTCTTGGTGTAGTGGATTTTGAAGAATAAAATTAAGAATGGACACTGCTCATTTAAGAAAGTAAAAACCAAGATAAACATTTCCACTTTGTAACACTGGGACAGCCAGCCTCAAGTAAAATAAAATGCAGTGACAATACTCTGCAAGTGCTACTTAAAAGCTGGCAAACTATTTAATCAGTTGAAGGGGATAAAACAAATAAAATAGCTAAATCCTTAGGTGCAGAAGTTGTGCAGCCAACATGAACTGGGAACTAGCAAGCAGGCTTTGAAGCTTATTGCTGTTCTGGAGCAGCCAATTATTTAAAAAATTCTGGTAAGAAATCAGACCATATTTTAGCAGACAAGTCTGCTAATGCTGTTTCTTCCACCTGGGATATGAATACAAACTATTTTCTAGTCTTGCACCAACAAATGAAGATTCCACAATTACATTGCTGATGACGCTCGTTAAAAAATGATGTTTTTATTAAATTTGTAACTGAACTCTTTAGGGGAGAACTGTATGCCTCTGCTCTGTACATTGCGCCATATATTTCATGTTATGGTAGTCTCGGATGACGATCCAGCACACATTCGATTTAAGAACACTTTCTTAAAGAACAGATTTGACAAAACACAAAGAAGGTACCAATGTGAGATGTGGACTGAAGAACTTGGGGATCTAAAGGTGGAGGAAGCCTGGAATTACTTCAAGTCAAAGTTGCAGAAGCTATCAGAAGTCTGCATCCCAAGAAAGGGGAAAAGATTCATAGGCAGGAGTTGTAGACCAAGCTGGATGAGCAAGCATCTCAGAGAGGTGATTAAGAAAAAGCAGAAAGCCTACAAGGAATGGAAGATGGGAGTGATCAGCAAGGAAAGCTACCTTATTGAGGTCAGAACATGTAGGAATAAAGTTAGAAAGGCCAAAAGCCATATAGAGTTGGACCTTGCAAAGGGAATTAAAAACAATAGTAAAAGGTTCTATAGCCATATAAATAAGAAGAAAACTAAGAAAAAAGAAGTGGATAATCTAGGCATGGCCCAATATCTAAACAATACTTTGCCTCAGTCTTTAATGAGGCTAACGAGGAGCTTAGGGATAACGGTAGGATGACAAATAGGAATGAGGATATGGAGGTAGATATTACCACATCCGAGGTAGAAGCCAAACTCAAACAGCTTAATGGGACGAAATCAGGGGGCCCAGATAATCTTCATCCAAGAATATTAAAGGAACTGGCACATGAAATTGCAATCCCATTAGCAAGAATTTTTAATGAATCTGTAAACTCGGGGGTTGTACCGTATGACTGGAGAATTGCTAACATATTTCCTATCTTTAAGAAAGGGGAAAAATGTGATCCAGGCAACTACAGGCCTGTCAGTTTGACATCTGTAGTATGCAAGGTCTTGGAAAAAATTTTGAAGGAAAAAGTAGTCAAGGACATTGAGGTCAATGGTAATTGGGACAAAATACAACATGGTTTTACAAAAGGTAGATTGTGCCAAACCAACCTGATCTCCTTCTTTGAGAAGGTAACAGATTTTTTAGACAAAGGAAATGCAGTGGATCTAATTTACCTCGATTTCAGTAAGGCATTTGATACGGTTCCACATGGGGAATTATTAGCTAAATTGGAAAAGATGGGGATCAATATGAAAACTGTAAGGTGGATAAAGGAACTGGTTAAAGGCGAGACAACAACGGGTCGCACTGAAAGGTGAATTGTCAGGCTGGAGGGAGGTTACTAGTGGAGTTCCTCAGGGATTGGTTTTGGGACCAATCTTTTTATTACTGACCTTGGCACAAAAAGTGGGAATGTGCTAATAAAGTCTGCAGATGACACAAAGCTGGGAGGTACTGCCAACACAGAGAAGGACTGGGATATCATACAGGAAGATCTGGATGACCTTGTAAACTGGAGTAATAGTAATAGGATGAAATTTAATAGTGAAAAGTGCAAGGTCATGTTGTTAATCCCTAAATGCAAGAATTATTGTTATAAGCTGGGGAGGCATCAGTTGGAAATAACAGAGGAAGAGAAGGATCTCGGAGTATTGGTTGATCACAGGATGATTATGAGCCGCCAATGTGATATGGCCGTGAAAAAAGCTAATGCGGTCTTGGGATGCATCAGGCAAGGTATTTCCAGTAGAGATAAGGAAGTGTTAGTACCGTTATACAAGGCACTGGTGAGACCTCATCTGGAATACCGTGTGCAGTTCTGGTCTCCCATGTTTAAGAAGGATGAATTCAAACTGGAACAAGTTCAGAGAAGGGCTACTAGGATGATCCGAGGAATGGAAAACCTGTCTTATGAAAGCCAAGCTCTTTGAGTCTCCTTGTTTAGCCTAACCAAAAGAAGGCTGAGGGGAGATATGATTGCTCTCTATAAATATATCAGAGGAATAAATACCAGGGAGGGAGAGGAATTGTGGACACAAGAACAAATGGATATAAACTGGCTATCAAGAAGTTTAGACTTGAAATTAGACAAAGGTTTCTAACCATCAGAGGAGTGAAGTTATGGAACAGCCTTCCAAGGGGAGTAGTGGGGGCAAAAGACATATCTAGCTTCAAGACTAAGCTTGGTAAGTTTATGGAGGGGATAGTGTAATGGGATAGCCTAATTTTGGCAATTAATTCGTCTTTGACTACTAGCGGTAAATATGCCCAATGGCTTGTGATGGGATGTTAGATGGGGTGGGATCCGAGTTACTACAGAGAATTCTTTCCTGGGTGTCTGGCTGGTGAGTCTTGCCCACATGCTCAGTGTTTAGCTGATCGCCATATTTGGGGTCAGGAAGGAATTTTCCTCCAGGGCAGATTGGCAAAAGCCCTGGGGGGGTTTCGCCTTCCTCTGCAGCGTGGGGCTCGGGTCACTTGCTGGAAGATTCTCTGCACCTTGAAGTCTTGAAAATTAAACTAACAATTTGAGACAAAAGCTTAATCCTAGACCCTAATTCTACCAACACTTATGCATGCAAGTAGTTCCAGTGTTTCTATTGAAGTTATTTACGTCCATATGTGGTATCAGGTACTGAGTGTATTTTACTCTACTTGGTGCTGCTAAATACTGTATAAACATTTATGGTATGGTGGAGTGGTATGAACAGTTGGAGTAGAGTGAATGAGAACAAAAGGAATTACTTCTAAAAGGGTTCATGTATTTAGTCTACTTATCTACTGAGTCTGAGGCTTATTCTTAATTGCTTTTGAAAACATAGGCTAACCTGATAAGAGAAACATATGGTTAACAGGTTAAGTACAGCATAATCATTTGGAAGAGCATCACAAGTTGACATACCAAGAATTAACTACTAACAGTTGACTCAAGTTTACAAATGAAAAGCCATTTGTTTTTATACATCTTGTACCATAAAAAACAAGTATTCTGGCCTTCAGTCCATTTTGTAATAAGACATTAAAACCCTAATTGAGGCTTACAGCTGCTCCTCACACCACACACACACACACACACACACACACACAAAAACCCACCAACCATATCAAAATCTAGCTCCCAAGCAAACCCTCACCACTTTCCTGAAGTACATACCAGCCACTGTTAAGCACCTGGAAATATAGCAATTGCAAACTCAGATCACTGGGTTCATCTAGTCCAGTATCCTGTTCTTTAGAGTGGTCAGTACCAAAGCTTTGTATAGGAAAGGGATCGGCAACCTTTCAGAAGTAGTGTGCTGAGTCTTCATTTAGTCACTCGAATTTAAGGTTTCACGTGCCAGTAATACAGTTTAACGTTTTTAGAAGGTCTCTTTCAATAAGTCTATAATATATAACTAAACTACTGTTGTATGTAAAGTAAATAAGGTTTTAAAAATGTTTAAGAAGCTTCATTTAAAATTAAATTAAAATGCAGAGCCCCCCGGACTGCTGGCCAGGACCTGGGCAGTGAGTGTGCCACTGAAAATCAGCTCGTGTGTCGCCTTCGGCACACATGCCATAGGTTGCCTACCCCTGGTATAGGCATTGTGAAAAATTTCAGTTGACTGTTATGGAATAACCTATCCGTACATAGTTTCTTCCTAAGCCCTATATCAGTGTCCACAGACCGTAAGCCAGTCTCTGCTGAGGTTTTTGTCCCTCTAAACTAGTGGCTCTCAACCTTTCTAGACTACTGTATCCCTTTCAGGAGTCTGATTTGTCTTGCGTACCATCAACTTGCTTAAAAACTACTTGCTTACAAAAATCAGACATAAAAACACAAGTGTCACAGCACACCATTACTGAAAAATTGCTTGCTTCCTCATTTGTACCATATAATTATAAAATAAATCAATGTACCCCTAGAATAGGTGTGGGCAAACTTTCTGGCCCAAGGGCCACATTGGGGTTGCAAAATTGTATGGAGAGCCGGGTAGGAAAGGCCCAAACAGCCCGGCGCCTGCCCCATCCAACCCCTCCCACTTCTCGCACCCCTCAGAACCCCCCACCCATCCAACCCCCCCTGCTCCTTGTCCCCTAACCACCTCCTCCCAGGACCCCTGCCCCTAACCGCCCCCGGGATCCCATCCCCTATCCAACCCCCTGCTCCCAGTCCCCTGACTGTTCTGACCCCTATCCACACCCCCACCCCTTGACAGGTCCCCTGGGACCCCACCCCTATCCAAACCCCCTGTTCCCCATCCCCTATCCACACCCCGCCCCCTGACAGCCTCTCCCCCGCCCCCCGGGACTCCCATGCTTATCCAACCCTCTCCCAGTCCCCCAACCCCTGTCCGCCTCCCAGAACCTCTGCCCCATCCAACCGCCCCCTGCTCCCTGTCCCCTGACTGCCCTCCAAAACCTCCCACCCCTTATCCAACCCCCCGGCCCCCTTACCATGGCTGCGGGGCAGGAGGGACAGCGGGGGGAGGGGCCAGGGGCTAGCCTCCCCAGCCGGGAG